GGCACCGTGAGGCCTATTCACATCATTGTGCAAAAAACTTAACTATCAGTCCTTAATCATCTTATCTGACCTAGGGTGAAAAGAGCTATTTTTGTTTTAATAAAGCAAAATTTTTATCCATTTTCTAGGCCAGAACATGTGACACCTGAGGTCTTCGATTACATCTTCTTAGGCAAAGGGGACCCGGAACTTCTAGCTAGCCAAAAAGGCACCACGATTACAATAGCTGGACTCGAAGCGTGCCGTCGTGAGTTCCTCTTCTGGTATCCTGTTGATCTTCGTGCCAGTGGCAAGGATCTCATTCAAAATCATCTTACCTACAGTCTCTTCATCCATACGGCTATTTGGCCAACGCTACCGGAGCAGTTCTGGCCGCATACTTTCATCGCCAACGGACACTTGATGCTTAACTCGTCTAAGGTCTGATTTCCAACTATTATGAGCACACGGTGAATTTATGAGTTAAATATACCAAGAAAAAGTAGGTTTTGATGAATCTCTTGAAATAATCTTAGTGTTGAGACTTTCATTTCGTATGAAAGTACATGATGAAGAGACTCGTAGGTCGATCTTCCATAATTCAACGACTGACTCCCGTTTTTTGCAGCTATTTGCCCTTAATATAATATTCGGGTTGATGTGGACCACGTAGCATGGTCCCTCTCGTTTCAGATGAAAATGGACTTAGTTTTTTTTATAGAAGTGGGTGACTGCAACCATACCGGAGGCCACAACATCCTGGTCTTCATATCTTAATTTATTTTCTTATGTTTGGACATCAGAACAATTTATAAGAAGAAAATAACACTTTCCTCAGTAATGCCATCTTTTCGGGAGATTTTGGATCCATTTTCCAAATTGGGCTTTTATAAGGTTTTGTATTCATGTGGTAGCGCCTGTGTGGGGAAGGCCTATTTACATATACATATCTGAAAATAAAAGAGCCTGCACAGGTTTTTGGGTCCGAAAATCAGAACTGGCAGAATGCAGCCCACACAGGACATCAGATAGGCTTATGTAATGCCAAACGTTTAGCTGGATCTGGGGACTGGGCCAGTAATCAAAGGATTAGAGGAGATATAAATCATCAAAACAGCCCACACCCTGAATAGAAGTAATGAATTTAGGAGCTTAAGGGGAAACTACTTGTCTGTCAGATAGGATTATAGAGCGAAAAGGGAATCAAGATGTACCGTCGAGCAAAAGGAGTTTTGATTAGCATCAAATCTGGTTTTCATCCCCACTTCCCTTTCCCAGCATTGTGTACACCTAACACACATGCAATGTAACGCAACCACATGTGGCACCATTGCAGAATAACAAGTATAAGCGTTTTACAGGAGGATGCAATTGTGACCGAACAATTGCATCCGTTTCACGCTTCATTTTCAGCCACTTTCCTTTTGATCAACATGTAGGAAATGCATAGGGTTTACAACCAAATTATGAGATATACCTA